AACTTTAGCCCCCTATTAGCTTATTATCTCACATTTATCAGTTGTTTATGAAGATAATAACTAATAGGTTGACACCAAAACTAGACTTCTATCAACCTTGTGAACAAGCAGGATTTAGAGCTAGATATGGAACAAATGATCATTTGCAAACCATTAAGATCTTAATTGAAGAAACCATTAAATATAATAGACCCCTGATTCTTTTCTTTGTCGACTTTGAAAAAGCATTTGACAGTCTTCTCTTTCTTCACATACCTTTTCTCTTCACTTTTCTGTAATACTGCCGACCATGAACTGGAATTTTTCTCTATCTTGTGCTAATTGTATGATTGTGTTGCCTTCCCTGATGTCAAACCATTGGCGTAAGTTTCGCAGCCAAGAGAACTTCTTCCATCCGATGCCTCATCTTCCTTCAATTTTTTCTTCAACGATGTTGCAGTTTCGCAACTGTATATAAACATTTGTAAATGTATTAACAGACTTTTTAATAGTTTCGATTCTCCCCGTATATCGTTGCCGTTAATGAAAAATGTCATATGTTACAAAATGCACTTTTCAGGAGACAAAAAAAAAACTGAATAATATTTACTGTGTGAGTAGTGTTTTTCTCCAAATTAGAAGATATACATATTATGTATTGTCCTTTGTTTTTAAGTGTATCTTCTAATTTGGAGAAAAACATTATTCACATACTAAATATTATGCAGTTTTTTGTCTCCTGAAAAGTGTATTTTTTAACATATGACATTTTGCATTAACGGCAACGATATTTACACTGAGATTTGCATATACAATTGCACAGCGGTGTTTAAGGGCCAAAAAGAGATAAGGGCTAAACATTCCAAGACGGCCATCTGCGAGATAATAAAGGACGACTTCCATATGCCACATGTGTTTTTAAAGTCAAAACCAGAGTTCTCTGGTAAAAACGAAGAGTCGAAAAGTATCTCTCAAACGATGAACATGTGTATGTGAAGACGAAGAGTACCTGACTCCCTATCAGTCTTTTGACGAACAAAGACGCAAATGTGCATCACAAACTTGTGTAGTTGAAGTCGGCCGCTGAAGGCGTAATTTGCGATAGCCCTAGTGCTATATTTTCATGGGGTAAGGAACAATACACCATATTAATTTCTTGCTGCATATATCAAGTATGTGCACTTGGTATATTCATTTGATATTTGTTTGGAACTTCATCGCATTTGTGCCGCTATCGCGATTGAACATTATCAATTGGACATTTTTCATTTGTTTCGGTTTATTTACTGTATTGTATATTTTTTGTATTTTGTTAACACCGATTTATTTCATGTGTGATTTGTATTAATATTTGTACTTATTAATTATTTGTATGCACCGCATTCTTAATTTGTTTTTACAACGTTAAAATATTGTATCTTTATTTAGGTTGATTTTTTTGTAAGATTATTAATTTGTCTTTTGTCTTTTTATGTATAGTATGTTTGCGGCTATGGCAGGGTTTGTCTTTTGTTTCGGTCAGTAGTTTTTTTATTAGAATCGACATTTTTGTTTTGGTTGGTTTATGGTTGTCTTTTGGTATGTCGTTTTGTATTGCGTAATTTTAAGTTTGTATATTCTTCTTTAATTATAATGGTATATTTGGTTACATATATTTATGTTTAATTTTACAGCTTTTTTAAATGGAGTTTTATACAGTCCGCTGCCTTTCATTTCTCTTCTTTTATTTGAATATACATACCCATTTCGAAAGGGGGAAACCAGCGAATTCTAGATTGAACAGATCTTCTCTCCCCCTTCAGGATGACCCCAATTGTTATATTGAGGTCATCGTATGTGCAGAACGCAACAAATGATCAACTGTAGAAAATCATACTTATTGTTTCTAAAAATATTGCTAAATTAAGCTGCTTTTCTTAGCTTAACTGTTGTTGTCAATATAGAGTTCCTTATCTTTATTAATCCTCTCCAACACTAGATGATTTGAGACTCTCTTGATCCATGATATTTTCAATACCCGCTGGTACAACCACATCTCAAAAGATGTTACATAGTTCTTGCCTTTAACATCCTTGCGCTTTAATTGTAGTTCATAATATCCTAAATCAATTTGCCAAAATTCCAAACACGTTTTTAACAACTCTCCTTGCTCTTAATAGCCTATAATTAAATATTTTGTTGCCATGTGTTAAATTTTTGCCAGGATATGACTTCATAACTTTTGTAGTTAATGCAAACTGCATCATTAGCCACAATGATATTTGGAATTTTTAAAACCCTTCTTGGCAGCCTCCTAGCATTAAGGCAATTTTTTGTGAGTGCTGCTCATAATCGGTTTATTTTGGAAAACACCATCATCACTTACTTGGCCATTCACTCTAACATTTATGTTAGTAAGTGAATTTGTAAGATGCATCTAACAATTACAACAAAACAAATTATATTCACAAACAGTTAAATTTCAATTTACGATGGAAACAGAAAAAGATCAACAACTGGGGTTCCTGGATGTATTAGTAAATCAAAAGGAAGGTTACTTAGGACATAAAGTGTATCGAAAACCTACACACACGGACAGATACCTAAATAGGAACTCAAAGCATCATCCAAGCCAAAAACAGGGTATCATCAAAACTCTGGCGGAGAGGGCGAAGAGAATTTGTGAAGCACAACATCTCCAAAGTGAACTTCTTTATATTGAAAAAGCGCTCACCTCTAATGGTTATACCAAAAGAGAAATACACAAGGCGATGAACAACATCTCTAGACGAAAGGATGAAGAAACAGAATGTAAAGGCAAAGCATTCTTGCCCTATACATCGGGGGTAATGGACAGAATTAGACGAATACTTAAGAAAGCCAACGTAAAGACCATTTTCAAGCCCACAAAGAAAATCAAGGATTGTTTAAGATCGGTGAATGTAGGTTATATGTGGGAACCACAAAAAGACACACAAACACAAGAATAAACGAACATAAAAGCCATTGTCCTTTAGGACATATCAATAAATCTGTCGTTGCGGAACAGGCTTTGGAAAGCGGAGAACATCGGATACTATTTGAAGAAACACAGATGCTGGAAAAAACTTCACAGTATTACCCACGGTTGTATCGGGAAGCGGTGGAAATATACAAGCAACCAAATAATTTTAATCGGATAGAAGAAGGGCTGAAAATTAACAAGACATGGATACAATACTAAAATCTACAAACGCCCTTCCCGCCAAACACGAAGAAAGAAAAGCTTCTACAAACAACGACATGCCCCCTCAAGCCGAAACCAGTGGAAGGGAGGTGAGTGAAAAATATAAATATTGCCTCCGTAGTACAACACAGCATCAGTTTATGCTTACAAGCAAAGCATTAACATCTCCAGAAGATGCCAACCCCTAGTGTTGGCGAAACGTCAAGAACTAATCTCAGAAGACAACGGCCTAATAGCCCGAAAAAACAGTTTAACAAGTTAGACGATGGCCGTGAAAGCCTAACGCAGTTTAAATTGTGTAGTGTCATATTGTCATTATAATTGTATTGATTTATTTGCAGAACTACACAAAAGGTATGCTCCCTAGTTTTCTGTTGTATCACTAGTTCTAAACAAGTGTAGAAGTATTACACTAAGGTGTAGTGCTACCCCACTTTGTTCCATTAAAAAGTGCAACAAAAAACACTTAAAAGGATTTTAAAATTTTTAAACATTTTACACTTGTCTTGTGCAGTATCATCCAACTGAGTTTAATAACTACAACTGTTTCGTTGTCAGATGTGTTTACAATTTCTTTTTAGTTTAATTTAGGTACATTTAAAAACTTTAAAAAAGCTTTTAGTAATTTTAAAATCTAAAGTACCTACAAATTCTTATTTTTTATTTTGTTGTTTCTTTTAAATTGAGTTGATAATTTTATTTCATCACTCATTTGTATAAAATTTAAAAAAAAAAACTAGCTAATTATAATAAAAGTTTATTTATATTAAAGAAGAAAAATTGTAAAAAAAAATGTGAAGATAAACAAGTAGTAAAATAACTTAAAAAGAACTGCAACTACAGTGTTCCTTTGTTCAGTAACAGCCATGATTAGCCTATGCTCAACTACAACTACACCCAAAAGTGCTACACTAGAAAACAAAGGAACAAACCTAATAGGTTCACATTGTAAAGTTCACCAACCATTGCATTGGTAAATAACAAGAAATATAATTTTCCCCTTCTGAATCATATTCAAAACTTTTGAAAATTCCAGTAAGGGTGTCCACATCTGACTTACAAACTTGTACTTATTTTCAAATAATAAAAAGCAAATTCACAAAGCACAATGACATTTAAGTAATATTTGTCTTACCTCAGCCATAGACTGAATTTCGCTAACTACAATCACTTGACTTTACTTTAATACAGGCTTGTTTATTAATAAAAAATATTTTCTCTGACTTGTATGTCATATCTTGATAAATTTTCCTTTCCAGTCCTTTAGTAGTCTGGTTTTTATTTTTACACATAACCACAGTACAACTTAGCACGGTAGTTTCAATTTCCCAAAATCCTAGTAAGTAATGTACTAGCTTTTCAAATTCACAAAAATAAGGTACCACTACATAAACACAATTAAAGGACAAAAAGTTCTTCAAAAAGGTCTGAATTATCAAATAATTTATATCAAGGAATTACTGAGTACTGATAATACCCTTAGATTTTCATTAGTTCAGAATTTTTTACTATTTGGACAATCCTCTGATACTATTCAAAAACGATAACATAAAATTAGAAGCCTGGGACCTGCTTTAGTCAACAAGTGATGTCCAAATTAATAAACAATGTATAATTTGTGTTTAGGTACAACAAAATATTTATCCTTTGCAACATAAACAGTATATCCATTTTGTATAATTAATTAATTCGACATTTAAAATCTACTACAGGTACTTATAGAATATGTATTATCTAGCAGTTTAATAAACTTCCACAATATACAATTATTTCATTTGTTATCATGTTAATGTATTAATCAGTTTTATTTACTTACTTTCTTCATTTGTTGTTTGCTTTTCTTCAAATAGTGTGAATTTATATTTCTCTTGTTCTATTTTAGTGTTTACCGGAAATTCATTAGAGTCTAAATAATCATACTCCTGGTATACAGTTTCTCTCTTGGGTTCTTCCTTAATTTCAATTTTAAAGGCACCCAAAAAACCAATACTCGTGTCATTATCTATTTGTATTTTACAAGTTTTCTCACTGGTTTCTTGTTCTATTTCCATTGTATTAAATGCGTTTACTTTACTTAATAATAACAAAGAATAAAGCGTCTATATTCTTACATGAACAGAAGTGTGACACGGGACAGAAGTGAACAGTGAAGTGAACAGAAGCAGTAAGCAGTGCACAGATCATGATACCACAGAATAATAAACATGTTTGTTTTAGTATCATGAGCACAGATCACCTGTTATTTTATAGTGGTCTGTGATCAGAAGTATCAGTGTTGCCAACCGCATGTCTCATCCGATGATCCCTTGAAAAAGATCCGATTTGTCACGAAAAGATACGATATGCCAGAAATTATTCCGTAATTAAAATCAATGTTGCCGATGTTACTTTTTTATCTGAATACTTATTACAGAATAATTTTTTTTTACTCTCTTAAGATCATCGAGCAATAAGACAAAAGAGGGAATGTAAAGGTAGTGGGGGTAAACATATTGATAGACAGGAAGTGCTATTTTGAGAGGCCACTTTAAACAAGGAAAGAGAATCTCTTTCCTTGTTTAAGAAATTAAATTTAGTTGGGTTATGTTATTGTTGATGTTATTGTTTGTCAAAACTGTCACATGAAAGCTTATTTATATTTTCTATTGAAGTTTTTTAACATTTTAGACTATTATCGTTATTAATTAATTAAAACTTTATTGTGTTCTAGGGTTAAAAAAAGTATTTTAATAAATAAATAGATAAATATATAATATAAAATATTGTGTAATATAAAATAAATAAATAGATAAATTAGAACCCCTACACCACTGTATGATTATTGTCAAGTGTCATGAAATTTAAATTTGGCGCATTTGCATTTCCGGATATGTCCGCCATCAGAGGCCACTTTTTTGGTCTCCTTTTCATAACGATTAGATTCCCTCTTTTGTCTTATTGCTCGATGCTTAAGATCAATTCAGACCATCGAGCAAAAAGACAAAAGAGGGAATGTAAAGGTAGTGGGGGCAAACTTATTGTAAGACAGGAAGTGCGATCTTTAGAGGCCACATTAAACAAGGAAAGAGAGTCTCTCTCCTTGTTTGACATCAAATTTAGTTGGGTTATGTTATTGTTTGTCCCAAATGTCACATGAAATCTTATTTATATTGAAGTTTTTTAACAATTGTGTCTCATTTTAGACTCTTATCATTAATAATTAATTAAAACTTTCTCGTCTAAGACACATTCTGAAAAATATTATACAGCTACTGTTAATAAGTGTCGAAAAATTTAAATTTGGCGCATTCGCATTTCCGGATATGTCCGCCATCAGAGGCCACTTTTTTGGTCTCCTTTTCATAAGCGTTAGATTCCCTCTTTTGTCTTATTGCTCGATGATTCAGACACATCAGTCCCGTCATAGTCTCGGCGCCGAACCGGTCCTGTTTGGTCACAGAACTATCAACTATCTGACAGCTGGGAAACTGTTTGTCAACTGATGAGTGTGAATGCCAGCAACATATTTGTATTAAAGAATATTTTGTATGACGGATTGTTCGGTTCGGCGCAATCACTGTGACGAGACGTGACTGATGTGTCTGAATTGACCTTTACTAGTAAATTGTATATTACTTACTATTTGGATGCTAAGCTAAGTAAATGCATCATAACAGATACTGACACGTAATGACTAGCACGCAATAATAGTATATTACATAACGAGAGTTGTAAGAAGCTTATTACATGCGAGTAAAAAAGTTGCGCGCGAGCCGCGTAGCGGCGAGCGCAGTAATTTTACAAGCATGTAATAAGCTTACAACTCAAGTTGTGTACTATACTTTTTCTACCATTATTTTCGTTTACAAAAATAAAAATAAAATTACCACTATATTCACACTGACAGATTAATAATTTTCAATCTGTCAAAATAACGTCTGTTAATTCGTTTCCATGGTAACTCGACCAACTGACTGACGAGGCTTATGTGATATTACACATTTTTATAAAACTGAAGCGTAATTTTTTTTATTACGTGCTAGTCATTACGTGTCAGTATCTGCTATGATGCATTTACTTAGCATCCAAATAGTAGGTAATATACAACTTACTAGTAAGAGAGTAGAAAAAAAAAAATTACGCTTCAGTTTTATAAAAATGTGTAATATCACATAAGCCTCGTAAGTCAGTTGGTCGAGTTACCATGGAAACGAATTAACAGACGTTATTTTGACAGATTGAAAATTATTAATCTGTCAGTGTAAATATAGTGGTAATTTAATTTTTATTTTTATAAACGAAAATAATCGTAGAAAAAGTATAGTACACAACTTGAAAAATTACTGCGCTCGCCGCTACGCGGCTCGCGCGCAACTTTTTTACTCGCATGTAATAAGCTTCTTACAACTCTCGTTATGTAATATACTATACTCTGTTTTTTAACCAGGAGAAGTAAACCAAAAAGACAGATTCACACCCAAGAAAGTTACTAGAAAAGTCACCAAATACATCTTCTTTTTTTTGTTGATTATCTCGGCCTTGCGGTAATCAAGTAATCAATATCGGACAACCTCACACGTCAATTTTAACCTAATTTTATTTATGTATGAACAATAAAAGAATTTTTTTCAATTCACTTCCAATATATATTACAATTATTACAATAAAAAAAGGACTTTTTTCACATTTGGTCCCATGTATATATATATTTGAATATCAGGTGATCCAGTTTTATAGATCTCTTGAGTCTATGGTATTTAATTATAATTTAGAGAATATTTTGGTCGGGAGAGTCAATAATGTTACAGATCTAAGTATGGTTTTTCTCAGAAATTTGTCTTTTAATAGTAGACCATATTCTTATTCTGGTATGATCAATTTCTTGAATCTAGTTTTTTTTTCTTACCAGATACTTTGTATAAATAAGTGTGTACTTACAATTTCTTTAATGCTGGATTCTTGTTTAATTTTGACAAGTGAGTTTGTCCCATTTGTTATCAACAAATAAAATTTACTAAAAAATACTGGATTTCTGTGAGATAATTAACAAATCCAATCTATTATGTTGCATTATTGCATAATTTTGCAGTTTTCTTGTGATGATCTACAACCAGGAACAACAAAACCAACTGTATCAATACAATCAAACTAAAACAGAACATTACTTTACTAATGTTCTTTTATTGTGATGAAAACAAAATGGAAATGCTTCTTAACAAGTATACACAAAATTTAAAGGATAGTTGCCGTTTTTCTTATGATAATTAGATATAAATAACAAACATTTATAAATTTATAAACACTTTAAACTATATTTAGTATAAAATTTAGTATAAATATTATCTAGAAAAATATCACATATATATAATATTCGCATATCACCAAGTCCAAGTTATTACAAACTACTTAAAGAGTCAGAAATCGATTTATATATTAGAGGAAAATAATAATAAATAAATTTCACAAATGTCATTAGCGTCAATATGTCATATTTAGTGGAGTAAACTTGCCTGCGGTTGGACCAATTGCAAACAAGCATTACGGCGCGGAAAATTTGAATTACTCCTCCTGGTTAAAAAACAGACCATAAAAATCTATGATTTTCTGTTTTAAAAATTAACGAGAGTAAAGTAAATTTTTATTGAACACCTGACTCAATCGTATCCTGGCCGATTAATTCGTATATTTTGTGTTATTGTAAGTGTTTGAATTATCTAAATATTTCATTATTTTGGATCATTTTATTTCTTATTTTCAAGTAAAAAAAAAACGGTTTTAAATATTATTTTATTAAAACGTAATAATTCACTAAGACTACTACAAAAGTAAATAATAAATACAATACAAAAAAAACACATTTTAACAGCTAAAGATTTATTATACACATACCTACACCAAATTAGAAGAACACCTGAAGTTCAATTTGGATTCAGGACAGAACTCGGAACGAGGGAAGCACTTTTTAGTCTGCAAGTTCTAAAGCTGGATTTTCACAGATCCGATATCCGATGACACAAAATACGAAATTTTTTCGTACGAATATATTTGATTGTCGTATCCGAAATTTTTTGACATATATGTCATATGTGTGATTATTGGATCGATTGATATTTATTTCAATGAACTATCAATAAATGTTAGGTGTTTTGTTTGATAAAATATATATTATATTGAGCTACTTTGTCGTCGTTTTTGCCTCACATAGTGTAGAAGACACAAAAGCAACAATTTATTCATTGCATTTTTATATAATAATTAGGTCTTTGTTCCATTTTAATTATATTTCAAATAGTAAACATAAACACTCCACAAAAATAAGGTTAAAGTTCAAGTCAAAATGTCAACAATGTCAAAATTCATCCGATTTTCGTGCAAAAGTTAAAATAGCAACACTTTATTCATTGCATTTTTATATAATAATTAGGTCTTTGTTCCATTTTAATTATATTTCAAATAGTAAACATAAACACTTCACAAAAATAAGGTTAAAGTTCAAGTCAAAATGTCAACAATGTCAAAATTCATCCGATTTTCGTGCAAAAGTTAAAATATTTTTAACTTCTTCCGATGACTTTTAATTTCGTACGAAAATCCCACCTGTCATTTTTCAACCAATGAAATTCGCTGAAATTTATATCGGATCATCGTACCGTCGGATATCGGACCTGTGAAAATCCACCTTTATACAGAGAGTCAGACATGTCAACTGAGATGTGTATGCTCTCAAAAAGGAGTTAGACAGGGTTGCATACTGTCACTAGCATTATTTAATAATACTCTGAAAACATATTTAGCCTTGGACGAATCAGAAGATGGTATGGCAGTAAATGGCCATTAGATAGGCAGATGATACTGTATTGCTGGCAGATAGTCCGCAGGGGCTTCAAAGGATGATGAATAATGTTATAGAAACATGTAACAAATACATCCTAACACTAGATTGTAAGAAGACAAAAATATTAATCAAGAGTGGTGAAAATATGATATTTGGGCTGCAATATTAAGGATACTTGGGATCATAGCTACGAAATAAAAACTCATATTGAAAAAGCCAGAAGCTCTTTTAACAGTC